CCTGCCTGCGCCATGCTATTTGACACAGCGATTGTGATTGCGAGGACTGGATGGCGTGCTCCGTGTGAAAGCCATGTTGCGTACACCACACTATTTGACGCAGCGATTGTGATTGCGAGGATTGGATGCGGTGCTTTCACAGGTTACACCTTAGCCAGTCTTCCCTGCTGTGTTCGGGTAGTCGCTCACCATAGACGATGCCTCCTGCGCTCATGGGCCTCGCCGCCACATGATATTGTTCCTATTCGGACTCATGTTATCCCTTTTCTCGTGTCTCATACCCATAGATTGCATTCAATGACAAATCAAAGGCCCAAAAATGACGTATATTGTATTGCTCGTATTGTGAAACCAAAGGCCTGAAGAATTGGCTCACTATGTATAGAATCTATACATAGATCATAGATGCTTTTTTTGTCTTTTACGGAAAAAATTGAAGCTTTTGTTCTGAACATGTATTCTTCTTCTGACCGAACAACTCTTCTTCTGACTGAACCACATGCGTTTTTATTAACTTTTTTATAACTTTTTATATCTTCTGCTGTCCACGAGCGTTTTTAAACCGGCCACCACTGTTTAAAACTCCGTGTCACCACTGTGCAACCCATAGTGTCAAACCTGAAAGAAAAAGAAAAAGAAAAAAAAAACCTACCAACCTTGGCGTGGCTAGCCTGAAACGTCAGGCCTGCCGGGTCACAGCGACTCGGATCGACAAATGCAACCGGTGGTGCAAATATGTTTTCAACTTTTCATGGCTAAAAGCATTTTTTTAACTTTTTGCTTCGCCCCCCTTCCCTACTCCCCCTTCCCCCCCCCCCCCCCCTCTCTCACTGCCTTGATACGGCCTAACCTACTACTCCGTGTCCCTGATATTTTTTTTCCGAATTTTCTACAACGGAAATGAGAATTGAGAATCGCTAAAGTTGGGGTACCCACAATTTTGTGCATGCCGGGGCGGCGCCGCAGGGGAATGATAAATTAAAAAATCTTGAAAAAGAAACCAAATTAGCTACAGTAATTTCGCAACGTGGTACGTGTGTACCATACTTGCGGCGCATCGACCCTGTGCGCTGCGCAGCGCGGACCCAAGGTGTGGGCGCACCAGCGCGCGCCACGCACCTGGGTGCGCGGTGCGCGATGCATGATGCACTGCGCACAGGGCTGGTGCGCCGAGCGCAGGTGCGCTGAGGGGTGCACGCTGCGGGGCCGCATATGCGCCAGGTGCGCACAGCATATATATTGTGACGATATATATATATATATATATTCAGCCTCCTGATGAGTCGGTGAAACTCCGACGAAACAGTTTGTCACAGCCCCTCGTTTGTTGTCGTCTTCTCTCTCTCTGCCTACGGTTTTACCGGGCAGTTCTGTTTGTGACGATATATATATAAACAGTTTG